CAGAAACCCAGGACTTCAAAGTGCCCTAGTGAGCAGCCTGGGAGGAAATCCAGGCCCTGCTGGTGGTGGCCCTGCAGCCCAGCCCGGGCCCTGGGACTGACCTCTGAGCAAGGCGCAGGCACCCCTCTCCCCAGGCTCCCTCTGGCAACACCACAGGGCCCCGTGGGGCCTTGCCTGTGACACTGGCCTCGTCTGCACCACACCTGTCTAAGCCCTGGTGAGGGGGAACCAGCAGTTAGCATAATGGCTATGTCGCTGGACTCCCATGTAGTCGACTGCGGTTCGCATTCCAGACCCGGTGGCTTAAAACTCATGCTGGGCGTGTGTGTGTGTGTGCCCAAGATCCCGAGAGAATGGAGGAGAAGGGATTGCGGCATGGCCATCCACCCTGGGGGGGGTGATTTCTCGCTTTCTGTCTCCCTGTCTCTGTCTGGCGAGTGCACGCGCCCTATAGCAAAAACCTCTCCAAAAAAATAAAAGCCCTGGTGAGGCAATCAGCACCCAGGAAGGCCAGTCCAAGCACGCCCCGCGCCTCATCCCCCAGACCATGCAACTCCCAGTTCTGACCCCGAGAGAAGTGCAGTCCCCAGAAGGCTACAGTGCCTCCTGGAGAACTCCTTCCTTCAGAGAGCTCAAGTGTGCAGAGCCTGCTAACGCTTACGTGTCTTCAGTTTCTGTGGTTTGAGCCGTGACAGCAGATGGCCAGAGTATCAAGACCATGTCGTGGGAGGAGCTTCTTTCAGACCGGCGTGGACCGACCTGACCGGCCAGACACACCAGCAGGCTCTGTCGGGCAGCAGGGGCTCCCCTCTGCCTTGGCCGGAGGGAACTCGAGCTCGTGTGCGCAGTTTTCTTTTGCCCTGAGCTGCCAGGAACAACTACGTGCAGAGTCGACATGTATCTTCCAATTCTGTTAAAAAGACTTTTATGTAACTGTACTCCTTTATCTTGCATGTTTGCAAACTCTTTTTAGAAAGTAGAGGAATGAATTCAAAAACAGGAAGTCCATACCACCTCCCACGCCAGTGCAAAAAGAACCCTTACCTAGGCATGGTGCTTCACACTGGGGAAGCCCAGCACAAATACTAAAGCTTTATTGTAGACGTCGTTACACAACTGTGTTACACATTATGATACAAATACACGGTGTCAACACGCATGGAGTCTGTTAAATCATTCCATATTTCCTTTGCAAAAGATCTTTTCTTCCGGCTCTCACAGCTGTAATAAACGCCTTTGTTCCGGTCTGGATCAGCTCTTGCACCCTGGAGCTCTCTGTCGCAGTTCTCTTGCTGAACGAGTGCACACACACCTGTCAGCCTCGCCTGTGGTTGTTTACACGGAACCTCTGCAGCTATGCACCGCACAGTTTACGACCGAATCAGGGCACGAGGCCCGAGGCCATACCCATAGATCCCTTCTGCGTCTGCGACTCCCAGACACTCTAAGGCAATTTTGTCCGATCCCATCCCGCCCCCTGTTCCCAACTTGAACACCTCTAGGACACAGAGACGTGAAATGCACTGCTTCGGCACGTCTCTCCGGCTGACTCACGGTTTTAAAGTTTTCTTAGAGTGAGAACAGACCTCTGAGAGTAAGTTCTCTGCCTGAGCCCCCCCAGGGGTACGGCTGTCACGTCGTGGCCCTGCTGCTGGCGATCCTGCTTCTCCCTGCGGCCAAGGCCTTAGCTTCCGGGCAGAGCTACCCGCGCTGCTGCTGCACATGGCGGCCTGGCTCTGGGCAGCGGCTTCTCCAACTGTAAGGCACTCACAGGCGTTTCTTTTAAAGACTTCTTCGTGGGCAGGTCTCTGACAGAGAACAGTATACTTAACCCTCTGCCACGACAGACCGCTCTTTACTGGCCACTCCCGCCACACACAGGCCACAGCACAGGGCTCCTGCCGCCATGCGTGGGCTATGAAGCAGCCATCTGCTGGGCACACGAGCGAGGCTGGTCCTCAACTGCCGCGTGCCCACGGTCTAGGAATGTGGTCCCTTACTGACAGAGGGTGTCCTGGTTCCACGAACCTTCTCCTGACCTGTGCTGGGTTCTGCCCACGCCCTGCCGTGCTCTGACACTGGTGTGGCAGGGCTCCTAGGCTCCACGACAAAAACTTCTGCTCGGGTTGCGGCCGGGGCCTCCGGCAGGCTGCACAGCATCGTGTCTCTCGGCAGCTAGCTCTCCGGCTGACAGTGCAGACCTCCAGGCCAAAGGCAGGCAGGAGCAGGGGCCAGCGGGTGAGCG